GATTTTATTATTTTTGTAATTTATAATTTGCAGTAATAGTCCACATTTATAATAATCCACAATCTTAAACTTCAAAAATTCCTAAGTCTCAAACTAGCTCCATAATTCAACCCAAAACTTCAATGACACAAAATAACAACTGTAACTTAAACAATTGCCAAAGAGAAATTTCATAAAAAATCCCAAAGTACCATAATTTCAAAATTCCTAAAGCAATCTACTTCCGAAGTGCCTAAATTCAAAAAATGAAGGTCGCAATATATAATAATCCACAATCCCAAACTTCAAAAATTCCTAAGTCCCAAACTAGCTCCAATACCATAATTCAACCCAAAACTTCAATGACCCAAAATAACAACTGTAACTTAAACAATTGCCAAAGAGAAATTTCATAAAAAATCCCAAAGTACCATAATTTCAAAATTCCTAAAGCAATCTACTTCCAAAGTGTCTAAATTCGAAAAATGAAAGTCGCCCAGTTCCAAAATTCTCGAATGCCAAAAGCGTAAAGTAGAGGTTATAGAGTTCCCTCCGTAACCATAGTCATCCACCGTTGAACCGGTACGTGTCCTCCCTTTTCGAACGATGAGTTTTTCCCTTATTTCCCCGAATCTCTTTCAGTGGACTCCGTGAGCAGGTCCGATATCAGTTTTCTTCGAAACGACGATTCGGGCTGCACCGTGAGCAGCATCGAGAAAGAGAGCATTACCGAACAACCAAAGGGGGAGGATAAGCGAGAAAAAAGAGAGATAAACGAGAGAATGAAGTGGGCAGAGGAAGGGATGAAAGGTGCCGACTGCCCTCTCGGGATGATCCCCTCTTGCGGCTCCCTTTTCTCTCGATTACACCTGGTCACGACGCCATTCCCGTATCCAGCTCCTGTTAGTGTCAAATCACCGTGTTACGTGTCCTACTGCGAAGTCAACGCTCTTCCCTTCGACAACGATCGACCACTTGCTTAAATTCTGCTTTTACACTTTTGCACACGGTGCAATACTCCCCTTTCTACGATTACCGATATAGGAAAGAAGTGCTTGTACGTTTTTAAATATTCAAATAGATTTTATTCAAATATTGTGAGTTTAACACTGAAAGCTATCAAGTGGTTGAATGATCAATTTTACAAATTTCAAGTTACAAAATTTAAGATGGTCCTTTTGAAATTTGTGTTCATTCTCATCAAGGTTATATGTATATTTAAAACTTCATTTTTAACTTCAAAGTAAACATTATATGTAGGTTTAGTATAAAACCCTACCCTTGTCATATCGCATCTGTCGATATTAACTATGCGTTACGATATTTAAACAGACGAAGAAATCTGAAATGTTACATCCATTTTGTATTCAGTGATCTTTGACTATAAAAATAATAATGTCTTACACTTCCGACTGAAACAAAATTAAAAGTTTGAGCAAGATTTATTAAATTTAAACTGTGAGTGCGTCAGACACGAATTCAGGGGTTAAATGTCTCAAGTCACTGATTCTTCCGGAACCATGATATAATTCCCCATATAATTACCAACCGAGCAACATAGAAACTCCAATGATAAATAATTTAAAAAAAATTGAGTTTTCATAGCAAATACATTCTTATGAAGTCTAATTAAAACAAAAATGCATTTGATCCGATAAACTGATGTTAAATTAAATTTCAGTAGAATAAATTTAAATTAACGCTACAGTCAAAATATCCAATTGCAGATTTTCAACATAAATATATTAATTCACTGCAATATATCAATTCATCGAGGTAAAATTCAAATTACGAGATAAATATGAAATAAAGTGAAAAATAATATTAAAAATGATAAACTAGAATTTAAAACAGTTACTAGAATTGAAAATATAAATAAAATACTTGTATATTCAGCTAGAAAAATTATAAAAAAATTTGTGATAAAATATTATACTAAATTATTTAATTTCAAATCCTCTAATTTAAGTTCCAACCCTCTTAAGCTCAAAATGCTCTTCAGATCCTAAATGTTCAAATTTCGAATTCTCCGTGAAAACGTTTTCTCCAGAAACTTTCAAATGTTCCTCGAAGAGGCGAGATCCCATTCGATTCCAAATCTCAAGATCTCGTTTCCATATTTGTTCCGAGCATCTTTTTCACCGCGCCGGGCACAGATTGTAATCGTCGCGTCGTTTTTCTTGTCGATTATTATCGTTTAAAAGCCCGCCATAGACGGAGCGGCCTCAACGCGTCCTCGGTCGAGTCGCGAACGATCGTTTCGACTCTCGATCGGCCTCAATTGGTATCGACCGGTTCAGCGATGACTCACGGTTGTAGTAAGATTCCTGATACGGTGGCCCGATCTTTTGCTTATCGTTAACTCGGCCACGATAACATCCTGGCGACACGTTCTTCGTTAATAACGTCATTTCGGTCGCCCGAATCGGCTACTTTAAAAATAAGCGCGCGTTTAAATCGTCGAGACCCTTCAAAAGTCGTCGTTGCAGATAAAAAACTCTCTCTGATTCGATCTTTTAGCTTGTTGCGAACATTAACAAAATTCTGTCTTGTATTGCATTTTAATTTTTTCGTTATCGGTCGTTGCTAATTGTTACAGAAAAAGTAAATATTTATTGCAGTGTTCATATAGTGCTTTTAATAAAACATTATTATACAAGAGAGTTACTAAATAATAAAAAAAAAGGTAAAATGTTAGAAAGTCAAGAGAATGATTCATAGATTGTTCCCCTGATTCCTAATTCCTAAGAGGAAGAATTTTTTTTCTGATAGAACTTTAACAATAATAAAATATATGTATAGTAATGAATAAAATTGCACGAGATTATATAAGACATCAACAAAATAATGAAATTGAAGTCTAATATAAGTAAATTGAATTAATTAGTTTAATCATGATTCGCAAAGGAATGAAAGCTTCACCATAGAATGTGAAGGTTCTAAGCGATTCTCTATTTGATCACACGAGAGAATCAAGGAAATGTAATCAAAACAACCCTTAACGTGGAAGGGAATTTCTACCCCTCCCTGTTTCCTTTCTGACCCTCTGTTTCTCCCTAACATCTATACCTCCCTCCACCCTTCGTTTCGACAGTCTCTTGTCTGGTTACTTTAACCTGGCCCGATTGTCAGTCAGTGCCAAGCTTCGATGGCGCAAAGATCTTCTGGACACGGAATGATATTTTATACCTGAAAATCACGTGGAATTCCCAAGTTCAGACACTTATTTAAACACTTCCTTTTGATATACCCGAAGGATTGCTTCCATTAACAGTGAATTTAAGAGAGGAACTAGTCATTTTGGTAAAATAGGTGCAAGATTGAAATACTGTTTTTGAGTCGGGGTATTAAGAGGTTTGAAGCTGGATAATTTAATAAAAGATGAACTTCGAAGGGAGATTGCTTAGACATTGAAGAGATATCTGCTCAAGAATTATTTATATCGCTGTAAGAAAAATTTTTAAGTATCTAAAGATTTTACAATCATTCACAAATTTAAGAATCAAAGTTCAAGGTTATAATTATTAAAAAAGAATCTTTGTCAAGTAAGATCGTAATGTTAGTGCGAGTAGTGGAAGGTATGCAATTCTGAAGAAGGTTAGGAAAATTAGGTGTTCAAGAACCACATCCTCTAGATCAGAATTATCACAAAGTTAACAAAGACTTGAGTCTCTGCAGTAATATTAGTGGTGGTAGGTGAAAGTGGAAGGTATAGAAAGTCGAAGAAAATGTTCAAAGAGCTCTGCACAAGAGTTTAAGAACCGCACTATCTAGAATTATCACAAAATTAAAAATTAGAATTAGAATTATCACAAAATTAATGAAGACTTGAGTCGTTGTCTTCAATCAAGATCACGATAATATTAGTGGTACCTTGAAGAAGGTGTATACAGAGTTCCACATCTCGCAGGAGTTCAAGAACCACATCTAGATCACAATTATTACAAAATTATAAAAAAGGCTAAGATCTCCATAAATGAAGGCTACATTAATATTAATAGTAATAGACGAAAATGGAGAGTACAGAACCCTGAAGAAGGTGCATACAGAGTTCCACATCTCGCAGGAGTTCAAGATCCACATCTAGATCACAATTATCAAAAAAGGCTAGGATCTCTGTGAATGAAGGTTGCACTAATATTAGTGGTGGTAGGTAAAAGTAGAAGGTATGGACAGTCAAACAAAATGGTGAAAGAGTTCCACACTTCGCAAGAGTACAACTACATCTAGATTAGTTATTACAAAATTATCAACAAAGGCCACTATCCTTGTGAATAGAGATTAACCTAATATTAGTGGTGATACAAAAAATTGGAAAATACACATCGCTGAAAGATCCCCATCTCGCAATAGAAAAGCACACAATCTAGATCAGAATTATGACAAAATTATCAACAAAGGCCAGGATCCTAGTGAATAGAGATTAACCTAATATTAGTGGTGATACAAAAAATTGGAAAATACACAACGCTGAGAGATACAAATCTCGCAAGAAAAAAGCACACCTAGATCAGAACTACGACAAAATTATCAACTAAGGCGTACCGCAGTGAATGAAGACTGCGCTAATATTAGGTAGGCGAAAGTGGAAGGTACAGAACGTCGAAGAAGGTGGTCAGGGAGAAGAAACGTACGTCCGCCTCCCCTAAAAATCCGCCGTCAATTAATCTTCCCCGGGCCGGGGTCTTCCGGGTCTGAAAAAGAGCGGCGCGGAGGCAGCCGTCAAAGAAAACACCCACAACAAACAAGCGGCAAAAGAGCAAGAAGAGGCCGGCAGCAACAAAGCGGCCGACGAACGGACAAGAAGAGAGACAAGAGAAGGAGAGAAAGGGTGAAGCGCGAAGAAGAGGAGGTGTCGGTCGCTGTTCCTCGGCCGTGGCCGGCACGTGCGCGCACCGGCTCCTCGTGACTCGGAAGAAGAAGAAGAAGGGTTCGTCTCCTCGCCGGAACGAACGAAGAAGGAGAAGAGAAGAGGAAGCGTGCGAAGCGGAAAGTGGCGGCAGTGCGCCGCGAACCGTCAACCGGGACGTGCATCGAGCACACCCAGCCTCGGACCTCGTGTTTTCATGCCTTCTGCCACCACGTGGCCCTCATTGCACCCGGTTTTACTTCCTGTATGAACGCTTTCGCGCCAAATATCGATCGAATGAGACCTATATCGAGATTCTAACGAGGATATGAAGGACGACGGTGGTGTTTTTCGCGCTGTGAATTAGGGGGTGACGAAGATGATCGACGGGTGATAGCTGAACAAGAACTATTACTGCTGGCACTTTACTGCTGGCCTGGGATTGTTTCGGCCCTCACGGTGAAGATGAGAATGGAGCTTCAGGTGAGTTATTTTTTACTATTTTTTCGGCTCGTCAAACCATTATGTCGATACCTGAACGTCGAAGCTTTTACGCAAAGGTAGTGTAGTTACAATGTTGTGGTGATGATATGCACAGTTTGTAGTGTATCAATAATTCAATAACTTTACTTTTGAACACCGTTTGGTTTCTTTTATTTTCTTGAAGTTTATGTTGCTAAAAGCGTAGTAAATCGAATTGCAATAAAAGCTATCCTGCTTTAATAAATATTGTTGAGCTTCGTAACTATATTCGTGAGTTTTCGTGCACTTGAATTTTTCAGCAAATTAAAAAAAAGACTTGAAATTTTCGATGAAGATATCTCGATTTTTCAGCGAAGCAGAACAGAGAATCACTCCAAATTTTTAGAAAATTGAAAAATACCTGAGATTTCCAGCAAATTAAAAAGTATTTAAGACTTCCAATAAATTGAAAACACTCCATATTTCCAATAAATTGAAAGCACTCAAGATTTCCAATAATTTAAAAAACACCTGAGGGTTTTCGTAAATTAAAAACATGATATTTTCAGTTAATTAAATAACGCGTAAAATTTTCAGTGAATCAGAAACGTCTGATATTTTCAGTAAATTGAAAAACACCTGAGATTTTCGTGAATTATAAATTACCTTCGATAAATTTCCAAATAGAGTGACCTGTGTGGGTATACAACTAGACGACCCTGGTCCTCTTTTACCGCTCTTTGATCATTCCGAGGTTCACCTTTCACGACCTTCTGTTATGCTTTTCCCTTATCCTCCCTGCTCCACCCCTTTTGGTTAGACTTCGCTTACGCTTTAGGAACTTTAGGGTTTTAACTTTTAAGTACGATTTAACGAAAGCTTTTGTGCCTCTACAAACTTTCTAAGCAATATGTTCTGAACATCGTTTGACTTTTGTCACCGCGACTACCCTCTCTATTTGTACGAAACTTATTAAAACTATTTGCTGAAAGTTTTAACAAGAAATAATTTTAATATTCAATAAAATTAACGTAGCTATTCTTCTTCAAGTGTATAATAGAATACAACTGAATATGGAATATCATCCCCTATAAAATGCTCCCGTTAAAATTCACGTATCACTCACATATGAATGAAGCGAATCAAAATGTTAATAATGCAAAATAATTCAATTATTCCTACATCAAAAATGAACAGTTTCAGCCGTTTATTGAAAGGAATATTTAATGAATGATCAACTAAATCAATACGCTGTATTACCATTTACGTGTATCACTGCCAATTTACTTTAATATATCATGTCGCGGAAGCATCAAATTATCTTGTTTTACATACTTTCGCCATTTTCGATTTAACTTGTTAATATACTATAAATGACAATACTATCAATTTATACGTATACACGTTAAAAGTTAATTTTTACAAAATTTTACTTTCATTTTCTCAGATTTGCAAATTTACGAATCTTCAAGTTTTCTAACTTATAATGAAAGAAATATCTGCAATCATAAATAATTATGAAAAATTTTGTCCAACACATAGTTTGTGGTACAGTGACTGATGATACAGAAATTAAATTTAAGTAAAGTTGAGGTGGATTTAAATAGATAGTGTGTTTGTTAGATAACAAAGATTATTTACATTTTAACAACTTTGAATACAACTTCAAATAATTTCCAATATGTCACTTATATACACGTATGCCTTAATATTGTTCATAATATTTTAAATCTTCAAAACCATGATAAGCACTCGACGCAATATTCTCGTTTCTATTCAAAAATCAATTTGCTTATGAATTCTTTATAAATCGGAAATAATCAGGTCAAATCGATAGAATCGCCATTAAAATTTTGTGATCGTGAATATATGATAACTCTGCCATAACCCCCGGAGATCTTCAAAATTAATTCTTGATTCTCTAATAGAATCACTTAATTATCGCAGCAAAAATTTCTCCGTTAATTTGAAGAATCTTAAAGTGATTGTCGAATTCCTGAAGTCGAGTATCAAAGTCCCAAGAGTGAATTTAAGTGGGAGACCGCATGAAGACGCACGCGATTCTCGAACACGTAATAAATCACAGTCGCGAATCTAGAAGCTTGCGACAAACCGCGAGACCGAACTCGCCTAAATTTATCGTCATTCTTTGCCGACAGCTAGAGGGTGGTAATGGCAGTGGCTTCTGCCACACGATTGCGTGGCGCCAAAACCCTTCAGACACTCCTTTCTGTCCCCCGATTAATTAAATTCGAATTCTTCGGCCCGTTCAAAGCTTGCAACGTGACTCAAACCAGAAAGGATCACTTTGTAATTTATTACCGGTTTAGAGTGTACAAAGTGACGCGAGAATTTTAGCGTTTTCGTTGTTGTTTTGGGAAAAAAGATGATCTTATTGTGGGAAGCCATGAAAGTTTAAAGTAAATATAACCTCTCTTTTAAGCTTGAACTTTCTTTCGTTTAAAATGATAAATACTAATTAATCATATATGTAGTAAATCATATATGAAGGATTGTTTTTGAACTATTTATGGAAAATTATATGTGAATGATTATAAAAGACATGTTACACAGTGTCGAATTACTAAAATTGTTAAAATTGCTAAAAACCACGAAATTCTTCATTTTTGACGTACAAAATAAAAGTAGATAAAATTTTATTTTGCTGTAAACCCCTTATGAAAGTGACACAATAATTCACTGATGCATCTCCTACCTACTTAAGAAGTTTACAAAAAAATAAATCTTCATGTCACTTTTATTTCATCTCTTTTAAAATTGACTATGAATAAAATTGATGAAAAATATTTAGAAAAATATATGCAGACTTATATTGACTAATTGACTGCTATTAGTACCATCAAGAAGAGATGTATTTACTTGTATAGATATTTATTTTTATATGAGAATTATTTTAAGTGTGAATTATTATATTTTTATAAGTGTGAATTTATGAATTAATCTGTTACAATTGAATTGTAGTGATTTGTTGAAGTACGTGAATATCATTGTTCTCAGATTTATGAACCTCCTTGAACTCAATCATCCAATGGTACTAAAATACAGTCGAAACGTTTTCTGCTTAGTCTCGGCCTTCGAGCTCGTTCAATGAACAGAAAAATCTGTCTACAGTTCGTTTGTACGAGGAAATGTACCTCTCACACGCTAAAGAATTTCTTTTCGCGCTTTGAAGTCTAATCTTTAGATCTTCGAGTTGTCTGCATTTAAACTACAGTCGTTCATCAAAGGCGAAAAATCAGAAGTTGGTGTTTCAACGAGATAACGAAGTGAAATTGCTAAAAGAAGATGATATTGAAATTCTTTTATGTGCATATTTCTTAAAATAGTGGGTTTAGAGTGCTTGGGGTATCTTTTAAAGATAATTTTAAACCTTCTAAGAGATCTGGAGGGTTGCAATGTTTTCTAAATACAAAATTTGTAGTGCAACAAAATGGAGGATAGTATAATACGAAATGAAAGTTAGTTTGTAATATGAGTATTATATTTTTGAATGGGGATTTGTTACTAATATTCAATGTGTGTTATAATGTCTTTATTATTTTATACACATTCGGAATAAATTAATTTAATATTCGAAGTAATATAATATAGGTTAGGTTTCACATGTGACACGCGCAATATGTGCTTCCTTAGATTATAGTAGGTTTAACGATTATGGAAGGTTATAAGAAAAATTTGTTGATTTTCAGAAAATTCTAAAAGAGTCTATGTTTCACGTTTAATGTTGGCTTCCTTAGATCATAATAGGTTTTAAGATTATAGGAGAAGGTTACAAGAGAAATCTTTTGATTTTAAGAAAATTCTGAAAGAAACTATGTTTTACGTTTAATGTCAGCTTCCTTAGATCATAAAAGGTTTTAAGATCATAGGAGAAGGTTACAAGAAAAGTCTTTTAATTTTAAGAAAATTCTGAAGGAATCTATGTTCCAAAATTTCAAAGACCTGAAAGTTTAAAAATTCCAAAGCTTTCAAAATTCTAAAGATGCAAAATTTCAAAGTTTCGAAGTTCCAAACATTTAAACTTCCATAACACACAAGTTCCTACTTTCAAAATAAATTGCAAAGAATTAAAAACTCCTAGATACACAATCAAAGTCACCATTTTGTCTACCCTTAAATCCTCTTTAATGACACCTTACTCTTCCACTCAATGTAACTTCCACCCTTTCCAAACTTGCCATAAGCTCAACTCCAACCCGCACCAAAATCCACATCCCTTCAAAACACAGTCACATAATCTCTCGAATATTAAATGAATGATTAAAAATTAAAACGCATCCCGCAAAATCGTATCACAACAAATCCGGGTATCTCCCGAAATAGGGGATCGTGCATGATGGATAAAAGGAAGAAGAAGAAGAGAAGGAGGAGGGTTAGCCCATCCTCTCTGCGGTACCTGCTAAAAGAGGCAAGGTTAATGGCACGCGATGTTTGCTCGGATATCCTTTGGCACCGTGTTCCAGGCCCGTTAATGAGTCCAAATTGATTTCGAGCAGTGCATGACCGACATCAAAGGCCAGATGAGCAACAAGTATTCCGTTCCGAGAGTGAAAGAGATAGATAGCAGAAAGGCAGAGATTACGGTTTAAGCCTGTTTACGTCGGGATTCCGTCTGTGATCTCGCGCGCCACGCATAGTCCCTGCATCGATTTACTCTCTCCTTCTCTTCAGCTACTGTTGCTCTTCTCTCCTTCCATCCGTTGTTTGTCGACTCTTTCCATCTCTTATCTAGCCTTTTCTTCCTTCAATTCGCGCCACGCGTTTCTCCGGATACCCTGTAGCCGTATCTCGGCGAGGATTTTCGATTGATCCGCTCCTCTTTGCGACTCGCGGGTCGACGTTCCTTTGAGCTTTCGAAGCTTACGGCTTCCTGTTTAACTGTCGGGTTGATAATCTTAGTTACAATTTACTTGTCGTCGTCCCTGGAATTGCGAACTTCTGATTGGCAGAAGTTTCGATGGGGATTTCGGAGATAGAGGATAGCTTGGGAGGTTCGGGAT